AGCACACACAACTGCAGTGATGGAAGCAGGGCAGAGGGCACAGGGCCCAGTGGAAAGGAAGGGCTGAAAGAGTAGTGCTTAGACCATAACCCAGCATAAAAAAAGCATCCAGGAGCACACAATGGATCTAAATAAGTCATTGAATGAATGTGTGGAGGAGACAAATCTCCCATGCAGAAGACTGCCAAGTAATTTACGTGGGATATCTGTAGAGGTGGAGGGCCTCCTCCCCAGGATTGGGGATTGACCCAGAGCCTCTGTGCTAAACTGCATCCCCAGCTCTCTTTTTGGAGACACCCTCTCACTAAGTCACTAAATTGCCAGGGCTAGGCTCGAACTTGAAATCTCCCTGTCGCAGCCTCCCAGGTGGTAAAGCAGTATAGCAAGTATGAATGCAATTGGCTGCAGTCCCCAGAATGCAGTTTCTTTTTTTTTAATTTGGTACCGGGGATCAAACTCGGGACCTTGCACTTGCGAGGCAGGTGGCGGCACCACTGAGCTAAATCCCCAGCCCACAGTTTCTTTCAGAAAATATATTTTTGGTGTTTACTATAACCAGGGAAGGGACTAAGTGCTAGGGCAAAATAATAAAGACATCTATTGCAAAAAGAAGGCTAACTCAGGAAGGGTGCTTCCCGTGCGCTGTGATTCACGTACCAACAGCACGCGTGCAAGGGTCAGTCTCAGTTTTCTTTTTTCTTTTTTTGGTACCGGTGATTGAACTTGGGTCCTTGTGCTTGCGCAGCAGGTGTCGAAACCACTGAGCTAAATCCCTGGCCCCTAGGGTCAGTCTCAGGACAGAGCAGTTAATTAGATGTGTGAGGGACATTCATCCCCCAGAGGTGATGCCAGCTAAGCTCTAACACGTATCCAGCAATGTACGCACAGAGCTCACCAACCGAGAAGCCCCAGCCTGCAGACAGACATTTAGGGTACATGTTAACTACCAAAGACATTTTGCAAAATAAGGAACTTCCACTTTCAGGAAACTTGACCTAAGACACATGCAGAGAACAGAGGCTTCCATACAGGGAACCCAGAAATAATGGGTTCCAGTCAGCAGGGCAGCCAAGGCCCAAGATGGTGGCCACGCATCTGGGAAGAGAGAGCCAGTTTAGACTGAAGTGAAGGGGAACTGCCATCCAGGGTGGTTTTCTGGAGAACTCCTCATAATCATAAAACAGAAAGCAGAGGTTATTGACGTGGAAAATGACATTGTAAAAATACAGGTGATAAAAACTAAGAGAAAAGAGGAGAGTCCAAGGACATGGTGTCAATATTGCCATTGCACACAGGAGAAAGCCAAGAAATACTCTTCAGGGCTAATGGAAGAGAAATAAAAATGAAAGTTGGTTTTTTTTGAGACAGGGTCTCACTTTGTAGTCCAGGATGGCCTTGAACTCACAGTGATCTGTCGGGAGCCCTTCTACACAATTTTGGGGAAAAAATCATTTCACAATTAAATTATGCTTAGCGCTGTCTGAGGCCTCAATGGTCCCACGATGCTGTGATGCTCAAGGGCAAGAGTGTATCAGCTGAAGACATCCTGGTTCTTTAAGAACCGAGTAGCAATACAGAAAGAGAAAGGTTTCACCTGGGAAGGGACAAATTCCTTATCAGTTTAACTCATCCCACCTACTATTGTAAGAAAGTTTTTGCTCATCTCCTAATCAACAAGAGCTCCTCAAGACCTAAGATCCTCATTAGCATAAGATCCTCAATGTCATAGGGTTACCACCGCCCTCTGATTTATCTGGTACATTCTTAGATTATAAAATCCCATCGATTTAGGATGACTGAGGCCCTCTGAGACATCTGCTTCTCCCTATGAACCCAATAAATAGTGGCAAGCTCGGAATGTCTTTGTCTTTGTCCATTCTGAGGCACTGACCCCCCCTTCTTTGAAACTATGCAAGTCTCTATTGTCTTTTTTCTTTAGTCCTTGCTGTCCCCCTTTCTAGGCAGTTGAGGATTGACTGACCTCCAATAGTGATCCTCCTGCCTTAGCCTCCTGAATGCTGGGATTACAGGCATGCACCACCACGTCAGCAAAGTGAAACTCTTTTTTAAACACTGAGAAAGAATCTATAAAGGGATGAGAAGTGGGGGTGATGTGATGCTGAGGGTGGAAGCGTGAGCTAAATCCTCCTGTGTCAGTGTGCAAAACCACTTATGTGTGACAGTAAAGAGAACAAGGAACAGCCACGTGTTATTGAGAGCAATGGGGGCAGCTAGCAGAAAAACACCAACCAACTTGAGAGATCTAAGCAGTTCTCCCTCTAGCCCGCTCAGCTCGGTAGCAGAGGTTTATTTAGTGACTCGGCTTTTTGTTGTGTCCATGAATAGTATTTCTTTTGGGGGGGGCACCGGGGATCTAACTCAGGACCTTGCACTTGCGAGGCAAGCGAACAGTATTTGACTGCAGGGTCACAGACAAGTTTAATTTTGATTGAAAAAAAACAGAAGAGCAGGCAAAGAAGTCTAAGAATTTAATTTAGAACCACATTTTGATTCTATCACTCTTTCTTCTTTTCTTACCCCATGGTTGTCCTGCTTGTATGATGGCATTTGATCCATTTAGTTCTGATCTCCAAAACCTACTTTAAAATTTTAAGATTCTCTCGCTTTGCTAGTGTACATACTTATAGCAGGTTGTGAAGACTTTTCTTCAGAATTCTCATTCTAGTTTGGATCATGTTATCTTCAAAAGGTTCAGGTGATCAGGTGGGGCTTTGGAAGGTGCTTAGAACACGAGCTCCTAGTCTCATCCTGACACTTCTGCCCTGGAGTCAGCCAACCATGGACTGAACTCTGAAGCCATGAGCCCAAATAAACCTTAGCTGCATATGTGAGATATTTTGTCTCGGCAATAGAAAGGTGACTGATACACTTCTCAAGACCTCCATCCTTTCCCCAGCAAGCTCTCCTGGAAAATGACCTCTGCACTCCCTCCAGGTAAGGATAGGACCAAGGTCAGCTGGCAGGACCTATCCTGCACGCGCCCCTTTTCCTGCCACTGACCACTGGCCTGCCGACTCTGAGAAGTGCTTAGGCCAGTCTCCACCCCAGCTCATGGCCTCCTGCCTCTTCTGTGCCTTGGGTTTTCCTTTCATCCCATTCTGGCAACAACTGCTGCACTTTGGACCTGGATGGATCTTTAGGTTTGGTCCCCAGCTGGGCCTGGCCATGGGGAGGTGGCAGAAGATGCAAATGGTGTAGCCGAGGGGAGATTTCAGCCACTAGCAGCTCCCCTTGGAGAAGCCCACAGGCCCCACACCCCTCCTCACTCTTCTGCCTCCCAGACCTGAGGTGCGAGGATCTGCTTGGCCCCAAGCTCCTGCCGCACCACTCCACAGGGCCGAAGGCAATGGGGCTGGCTGACTGTGGGCTGAGATCTCCAAAACTGGGCTCAAAGAAAACCCTCCTTTGTGTAAATCGTCTCAGGTATTTGTTAGAGCAATGGAAACTAACGCAATGATCATATTCAAAAGTTCTAAAAAGGGCTGGAGATTTAGTTCAGTGGTTCTGCCGCCTGCCTCCCAAGCGTGCAAGGTCCCGAGTTTGATCCCCAGTACAAAAAAAAAAAAATTCTAAAAAGCAAAACTCAAAGCTTCCCAATCAAAATCTTCATATATGTGTCTCCCAGAACTGTGGCCGGTGAACTTACCTCGAGTCCATCGCTGTTCCTCCTGTGTCTCTGCCCTGTGCTTGCATGTTCTCTACTGTAATGACCAGTGTGTGATACCACTTCCACACCTACAGGTTTCCTCTGGTGCTAACCCCACGGGCTCGGACACACTGGTCTCTGCTGGAGGGACTCTGTCCTCTTGCTGGACACGTACAGAACAGACTTTCCCTGGGAATGTGCAAAAACTGCCATCACTGGTGATACACCTGGCCCTACTAGGCCCTGCAGGATAGCCTCGTAACAAAATGTGAAGCATACAGTTCAAGTTTGCATGTAAACAGACTGGAGTATGAACGTGATAGGGACAATACCACACAGGATTGTTTTAAATGATCACAGCTGGCCACACACGCCAAAGCCGACGCACGCACAGGTGTGTCACCATCACTGTACAAAAGTCGGGTGTCTCAGCTTTGTAGCAGATCTTAGAGCTCATGCCATAACAGAGAAGAAACAACTGCTGAGTAGGACCAGGAGGGACGTGATTCATACTTGGAGGGGTCACTGTGGCTGCTGCAAGGTCAGTGGGAGTTAAGGTGGGCTGGGCAGGAGGTGGAAAGTGCTATTAGGAAAAAAAAATAGCAACAGCTTTTGCCCAGGTGTCAGCAGTAGAGAGGAAACCACAGACACCACCTCCACCAAGAGGGAGTAACTAGGAAGCCCCCCAGTGAGCCCAGTGGCACCACTCACCTGAGTGGACTGCAGGAACAAACAGGTGGAAGAAAAACCAGGAATTCTTTTACTACCTCGTTCTCCAAGCAAACCTCCCTGTATGGGTCCATCTGCCCAGTCCTTGCCTTTCTGAAACCAACACTCCCCTGTAAATCACTCTGCCTCCTCTCTCCCACTGACCCTCCAGCAACTCAGCTCTCAAAGCCCCCTGAGGAACCCCTCCATCTGTTCCCACTCAGCCTTCTTGCACTCTAGGTGGGAGAACTCACTCCTCCAGGCTTTTGAACTTCACTGCTCTTTGGGAACGCAATCTTTCCCACCTTGCATTTAGTTACACACATGCATTTTGTTTCTCAAGGTGGAAGTGAGCTGTTCGACTCATCTTTCTGTACCCAGTACTGTTGCACTGGAGTTTTATACGTAGGATGAACAGGGCTCACAAGCTGCAAACATTTTACCATCCCTGAGTTAAAAGCCTTTACAAATATAAAAGGTAAGGTTGCTAGGATTTTATTAACACATTTAAAAAATTAAAATCTGACACAATAGTTGAATTTTTTCTGCATATGGTGGCAACTGAACTTCAGAAAACATACTGAAAACAGTATTACCGTTAAATAAGACAAAACTGCAACTTAAATCAATAGAAATTAGGTAGATCAATTTATTTTTGGATATTTCACAAGTATATATTTTGGAAGGGCTGTATAACAATTTTTAGCATCAACTGCCAACTCCACACACATTTAACAGAAAAGGCATCTACTCTTGGCCCTTTGCATACAGGCAAAGTATCCTACTGCGTAATGAATGCTAGAGATGCAGTCACAGTTTGGAGGGTGTAACACTAAAGGTTTAGGATGTTCCTCTGGATTATTTATGTAATCCATAAATAATACAAACATACATTCATGGCTACTAGGACCACAAGTAATCTGTAGAGTAAAACCTACAGGCCTACCTACTTCAAAGGCTAAAACTAGTAAAACAGTGTTCAAATGGGTGTTTTTATCCATAGAGTAACACTCACAAATCCTCTGATCCAACTTTAGGAGGTGTGGGGACCAGGGACAAGACACAGGGAGGACCGGCAGTGCATGCTGAGTTAAGTCAGGACAATGACTCACGTTGGTCGTTACTCAGAGCAGGATGATGCTTTGGAGGACTTACATCCTAAATCGTGACTCATTGGAAAGGGTGTTGAGGATGGGTGACTCATCAGCCCCAAACACCATGTAGTAAGTGCTGATGGTGGGCTTCAAACGCAGGCCAGATGAGGGGAGTGAGGAAAACGACAGAGCAGAAGGGATATGAAAAGTGGAGGAAATGTCTGAATGCCGGGGACGTGCTTTGGTAACCACCCAACATGTTCCTGCCACAGATGACCTGCTCATCACCAAACACCGAGTTTGGAATCCAGTGTGAAGAGAGAGCACATTAGCTTGGATAAAACACCACTGTATTCGGATCAAGTAAGAGTACACGTCTGATTTAGTAGAAAGCATCAGTAAATATTTAGAGGTATACTTTTGTTACATCAAGTAAAAATAACTAATTTTAACAGTAGACGTAGTAACAAGCAGAGGCCTTCGAGGGCCTGTGTTGATCAATGGTTAACACACATTTTTTAGGTCAACAGCACAAGATTATTGAACAACTTGTAAACCACAAACATGCTCCATCAAATTCATCGAACAGTCCTATTCTAACTTGCCAAGCACTGCAGTTGTTTTAGCTAGATGCAGTTGTCAAGAATGAAATGCTTCTCAAAACTGTACTGTTCAAAGCTGGAGCCACTGCACATGAGACCGCTAATTTCTTTCAGACTTTGATAGCCACTTTTCATGAAATATTCATCTCCAACTTCAGTTTTAGCCTAACCTTAACTTATGGTAAACAGGACGATGATTTAAATTAGCCATTTCTCAAACCACAACTTCGAAGAAACAGAAATGGACAATTAAGTTTATCTCATCAAAATCTTCATTCAAGCATTGATCAAAGAGCTTGCAAAAATGTCTTCAATAAACTAAGCTTTGAGGCAGAACAAAAAATAGAAAAATCTTAAACTTCTCTATCCCAAGCACCAGTAATGGAGGCTAAGAGATCACACCTACAAATCCTTACTGACAGGGGTTTCTCAATGGAAAATCCTGAGATTTTAAGCACATGACTACTGAAGGCAGATTGGTTTAATGAGGAAATTTATCTTTAATAAAAAGACAGTCAATACTTTACTCTTGGGCACTTACTCAGTATCTCACAGATCCTCAACAAGTTTTGAGGTAGGTTAAATGTTAGCATTGTATTCTACAAAGCAAAACCCCAGCAGATGCCATGAACCCCAGGAGTCCTCTCATGGCCAAGAATAACACGGTTTCTTTGGCCATCTTGTCTGAGGTTTGGATTTAATGGTGACAGCTTGCAAATGTTCATGTAAAAACCAAAGACTAGATACAATAAATGTGACTTTGGGATATTTTAAAATTCTTAAATCAATTGTATAGGTATACACATTGGGGAATAACCTACTTGTTCTCATTACAGATACATGTGTTTATCTATCATGGACCCTTAGAATCAGAAAGGAGCACAGTATTGACTTCACTGCTTTTCTGCTCCAGGGGTGGGCAGGGATCCCAGCCTGCAAGCGCAGGCGCTGGGTCCCAGGTGCCAGCCAGTGTGATCTGAGAGCACAGGAAAGCGGGTACACAAAGGGTGCCAAGACCCAGCCAGGATGCCTGGATCCGGGAGGGGAGGGGAGAGATGAAGAGCAAATGGTACCATCGCTGGCTAACGAACCCCATGTGCCACAGGCTTGCAGCTCCAAAGAGGAGCTCTTGGTGTGTCCCAGCAATGACTTACGGCTCTCACTAATTAGATCAACCAAAAGCAAAATCAAAATGGCATTCATTAAAGTGGCACCCGCAGACACTAACATCCAAATACTTTAATGGCAGTTTTCCCTGTCATGTGAGTCACCCTAATTGTCACAGTTCTCTTAGCTCATCAAAGTCCTTAAAATCATTTACAGTTCATCCTGACAAAGACTCCTGGGCCAATCTTCTCAGCTATGTTTCATTATAAAGTTCCTTTTATTTAAACAATTGTCAAGTATTAGTAATAATACAGGATTGAGTGATCAATTAACAACTGAGAAATTAGAAGGAAAACACCGTTACTGTGTCACAAAACACAGCGTTTAGCACAGCAAATGTAGAGTAAGGGTTCAGAGCCTGGGGCTTTCATAGCCACCAAGCAGCCCAAGACCGGGAGTCAAAGGAGCAGAGGAAGAGGAAAAAGGCAGTGCAGGGAGGGCAGGGGTGGAAGGCAGAGTATGGAAGCCTTTTATTCTATGTGCCCAAGGATAGTGTGGAAGCAAAACGTGTCTACATTTAAAGGTTCATAGAAATCACATGAACTGCAGCTTCCACAAGAGTCAAAAGGAAATGTTCTGCACAGGACAAAGATATGCCTAAGCCACATATCGTATGTGCACAAGGCCACCGAGTGTCACGGATGTGAGGAACAAAAAGCTTCATTCTACGGCCCAAGACTGCAAACTGCTCTCATTACACAAAAGCTGCAGTGATAGAGTTTTGTGTAGGAACTTTTGTGCTTAGGGTTGACACATTATGTACTCTCTAATATGTGAAATTAATGCAGATATTTATGAAACGTTGTGCAAAACTACTGTATTTACAAAAATGGCACAAAAGTGAATCCAATAGTTGATGTACCTGCATACTTCATCCACATCTTGCAAGGAGAGTGTACTAACGCCAAAGAACTGAGTAGGAACGCGGCCTTCAGGGGCAGCTGGTAAGCACTGAGTTACAGAAGTTACACCAGAAGGGCAAATATTGCCCAAGTAAAATGCTACTGTTAAAGCTGAAACAGGTTTAAGGCCATTCAAGTTCACGCAAATCTTTTGGAGTTCCCGTCTCTCCGTGTTTGATTATGTGACCCTTCTTCTAATTTGTGGTCTTAAAACTTCCGTTTTATAAAATCCAAAAGGAAAATAAAGAAGAAATCATACAAGGGAGATTATGTTAAACAGGAGTAACATACAAAGCTATCACTAAGATGAAGGAAGGAAAGCCAAAACAAACTTGTAGAACTTGCTTGCTACTTGCTGGAACCAGCCCTACACTGGGGTGAGGTGATATATACAGTTGTTTTCAAGTAGATGACATGTGTTGCTCAACATGTCCTTCTCATCAGGGCACTGGTGAACTAGTCGGAACCTCTACACATGTCTATGCCCTTACACTGGCAGCACTTACTACGGCTACTTGCAAAGCTGTCAGTCTTGAATGACACTGTGAATGAAAAAAGGAAGCAAAAAGTGGGTAAGGAACAGCTTAAGGAGGAAGGAAGGGAATGAGAAGATTCATGCAGTTCGGCTCTTTTAATCAGCCAGCCAGCTTGCTTGTAACAAGGGATGGCTTCCGCTGAGGAAGGTCCTGTGGCGTGGGAATGTGGTCACCAGTGACCTCGGTCTTCTCTGGGGCCGCAGTAGGCAGCTGCTTGTTCTTCATCTTCGCCTTGGCCATGTTGTAATCCCCAGAATCAAAATATTTTTGCTACAAAAACAAAAAAACCTCAGATTAGTGTGGAAGCTCTCGTATACCCTGGATTGATTTTAGATTCAGATGTGACCCCACACAGCCAATATCTAATGAGTTTGCCTAAACAAATTTAAGAACACAATCAGTTAAAACAACCACATCTCTGTACTGAGTGCCAACATAAGCTAACAACTGAGGAGTCAAGGAAGAGCCCCTTTTAGGTTCTAATCCAAGACCTTCAAGATGGACATCGAGTTATCCTGGAATAAGACGTTATGCACTCAGTAAAACCTGAATCTTTCTACTAACAAACCACCAGAGTAGACATGTAATTCAGCGTTTTGCATTAAGGATGTGGCAATCACCCCCAATTATTTCAGTCGTTGCTACTCTATCAGCTAGAATGAGCTCTTCTGTAAGAATTTAAATCATATTTATTCAAAGTAAGACAGTTCAAATAAAAATTAAAGTAGAAACATAAACGCTAGAGCAATGGAAGAAATAAACCCACTACAAATTAATCTGCTTAAAAGACACAGTTCTCTATTTGCATTTTTCACATAAAAACACTGAGTAGGTAAAACTGATATACATTTTAGTCAGAGAAAGGAAAAAAATCACTAATACACGAATTGTGACAAGAACTCAAGACTGACCTTAACATACTTAATCTAATGAATTCTTGAGTGAAAAGCGGATGAGTTTGCCTGAGTGCCTGCTACACTGAGGCACTGTGTAAGAACTAGAAAGAAGGATGGGCAGTGGTTACATAAAGGAACGATTACAACACCACCTTAAGAATACAAGATTAACAAAAATGGAAAAAACCCAACTAAAAATAAAGCCACCGTTTGATCTAACTATACCACTCCTTGGTTATAACAGAAGGAATTGAAGTCAGCATACTACAGGGACAACTGTACACCTGTTTTTTGCAACACAACTCAAAAGATATGGAGCCAGCCTAGGTGCCCATCCACAGATGAATGGCTGACACAGGAAGCACTGTTTGGCAATAAAGAAAAATGGACTCACATTCACATACAGGAAAATGGATGGAACTGGTGACCCTCATGCTAAGTGAAATAAACACCGACAATACCGCATGTTTTCCCTATTATGTGGAACCTACAAAAGATGCCGGGAAAGTACAAGGGAGGCTAGCATTAGACAAAGGGAGGGAAGAAAAGGGATGGAGAGTTACTAGTGACAGAGCTGAGGTCACGGTGCTGAGATGGAGTCACTGAGATGACAAGATGGCCACTACACTGTCACAAAACAATACATATGGCATTGCCAATTTTTAATTTTAAAAAGTGCATTAATATATAGAGATAACAAGAAATTGTCTGGAATGGTGTTCCCTTAATGGTTTTAATTTGTTTCTGGGAGTGAGATGATGAAACATTTTTCTTTTTTAACAGATTTTTTTAATTTGTGCTGTTACCTTTCTAAGTGGAACAAATTACATGTGTGAGGTGATGGGTGTGTTAATTAGCGTGACTAGCAATCGCTTCACAATGTGTACTCACCTCAAAACATGATGTGGTATGCCTTAAATATATGACTGTCAATTATACAATAAAAAGTGAGCAAAAATTTAAAAAGAGAAAAGAACACAAGGTGCTGGGGTACCCCGCAGAGGGACCACACCCCGACCCCGTTCTGGCCTGGCAGAAGGCAACAGCAGCACAAGAGGGAAATGACAGCCTGAAGGAGCCAGGGACACGCGGCCAGGGAGGCTGCTGAGTGCCTCTCAGCCCTCCTTTCTGGTAAGTCAGATCTGGCCTACAGCCAGACGGTCGGAAGTTAGAAAGCGCTTTCCATGAGTCACACCCACGGACTGAAGAGCCCCAGACCAGGCCTGTCCGGACCCGCTCCAGCTTCCTTTCTGCCCAGTATTTTTAAACGGGCACAGAAAAAAACCCTCAGAACTCTGACACACTGTATACTACAGAGTTGCTTCTGAGTTCAGCTACCTCTGGGAGGAGAAGAAAACAGCCTGGCAAACTTCTCACCAGAGACCAGAGAGAAATATAATGCATCGTGCAATTTTAGGCAGGTTTCCCCCAGGGCAACCAAATTGGCTTCTAATGTCAACTATTTTATAGGAAGTAGAAGTTCATCAGAAGAGAATCTCATTTAAGATTAGGCTCTTCTGCTTGGAAGAAAGAAATTAAATTTACTGAGTGTGGGTAGAGATAAAACTAAAATCAGTGCTTTGACAGCTAGTGCTAACCTGAAAAAAGAACACTACTAGAAAGGACAGTGAATCCCCACAGAGAGCAGCAAAGACCGACAACACAAGAGTGTCAGGGAAAGAAGTTACACTTTCTTGTTCAAACAGAACAAAACAAAAATTCCCAAAACCCAGGCAGTTAAAACATTACTTTATTTTTTTAAAAAAGTTATGTGAATTAACTATTTTCTCACACTGGGGTCCATACACAATCTAAGGGTGACCACTCATTGTCTTTAACAATGTCTAAATTTTGTGAATTTTTTTCATGGGACTTCACAAACTCCACAAATAAAGAAAAACACGGCCAGGCTGCTTCTGTAATCCCTCCCACTCTGACAGTCTCCAGGGGCACTGTGTGCTCAGCCTTGCTGTGAGCGCCTAATAATAATACTATATAACATAAGCCCATCACCCTGCTGAGTACAGTAACACCAACGGACCTAAGAGAATCCTATCCAGTCCTCAACACGATAAAGACACTACTGGAAGATGTTAATTTCCAAGCTTGCTTATTACTGTAACAAAGGAAAACCAAAACCCAGAGCCTTGTGTTTCAGACTTAAAAACAAACAGCTTCATTTCCCTAGTACAGTATATATAGGCACAAAAAGTATTCAGTGACATCTGGCACCCAATACAGACTCACTCAAGAGCTTACTTCTCAGATTTTCTGTAATCATTTGATCCACCGTCCTTTTCTTCATATTCAGTGATTTACAACTAGAGCACCAACCCTAAGACACAATCATGCAAACTCTGATGTGAAGACACAAAGTCACAGTCGGAGGTGGAGGAAAATGACAAGGACCATGGTCCCGGCCCTGGCAGGAAGCCTGTCTACCACAGCCTTGGTGAAGATGGAAAAGTCCCCTAACACTAATGGTACTGGTCAGGTCCAAACAGCAATTCACGAGTCAGGGAGACCACACCCAATGCAGCTCACAACTAGAACGTGCCTGGGAGGATTTCTAACTGGACTTGGTCATCGTGCACATAGCGAGCTGCCACATGAACAGTCTCAGTGCTTTCTCCATTTGTGCCTATATTACAATCTTCACAGTCATGGTTTGAGATGACAACAGGTGCTCCACTTGGTGGGCTTATTATAACTTACTTAAACATTTCTCTGCTGACGAGTAGTGAAGAGACTTCTAATTATAGTTGCAGCTACAAGGAAAAAGCTTCAAACTTGAAGATACATTGAATTATATCCTTTGATTAATCCGTAATATTATTCATTCAAGATATGTGAACATTTTAATGAACATTGATTGATACTACTTTCCAAAATAAGACTAATGATTCTGAATGTTTATACAAAATAAAGAGCATATGGGTTTCACTCTATTTCTACCCCATCAGGAGAGACTACTGACATATTTTCCTAGTTTAGTTGTATGGATATGGTGATACGATATAATTTAGGTTTCACTGATTTCTATCAAGGATAAACACTTCTTATTTCTCCCTTTCTCCATGTTTACTGATTATAGTTCCTGTGTTAAAAATCCTTTAAGATTCTTTTTTTGAAAAAAAAAGATTCGTTTTTTGTAAATTTAAAAGTTCCTTGTTTTTCAGTTATAATCTCCTCCCTGGATATTTCGTGGTACAAGGATCTTATATTTTTATATATTCAGTGTGTTTCCTTAACTTAATATTTCAAAGTTGTGAGTGTTATTTCATGCAAGAGTATAAAATACCATTCTATCTCCTGATTCAATATTATTTGGAACTTAATTCAGGAAAATAGTCCATATGGCTACGGCACCAAAACCCCCAGACATGTTCTCTGTATGCAAGCAGCAGATGCTTGCATATGTAGTATTTACTTAGGGAGAAACCTGATTTGCCATCTCATCCTCCCAAATTTATTTCATCCTTGTTCTGATCCCTACCTGTAATTCAAATGTGTTTAAACTGATGAGGGAATCCTCTCTCTCTCTCAAACAGAATAAAGGAAAGGGTTAGAAGAGAAAAGTAGCATGATCACTAGCATGATCACATTTCATTGAGAAATAATGGTTTCTACCTGACCAAAAGGCAAGATTTTGAAAAAAAAAAAGTTTTCAGCAATTTATACTACTAAAATTATAAGTTGCAATGGAGTGAATTTGTAAAACACATTAGATAAAGGAGATATGCTGAGCTTTTATATGTGATTATTTCATCCAAGTAAAAAATATTTTCAGTCTCTGGATGTTGTAGTCATCACTGTTAAAACAGGAAAAAGTTTAAAACTACGGGCAGCAGGCTAAACGCCAGCTTCTCAATAGCAACTGCTTTGGAGAAAAGCAGAAAGGGGGATATAAGCCAAACACAGGGTAAGTTTCACTACATCTACATTCATTTTCTTACAAAGACAAGACTGAAGTAAACATGGCAAAATATCAGCATATCAACACTAGATGCTAGGTACATGGGTTCTGGGATACCATCAGCACTATGGTACACGCTGGAAATAATTTGTAACTCAAATCATTAGCATTCTAGATTCTTTCCATATGTATGTATGGTATGGTATGAATAGTGTAAAATATGAAAGAAAGTATCACACACACACAAATGGTAAGTAGAGAACTAAACACACAGACACCCTCCCGCCTCTGCTGGCACACAGCAGCTTACCCCTTTCTGCAAGCGTTTCCTTAAAAAATCGGAACCTCCAGGCTTCTGTCCCAGGTGAGGATACCTTGCTTTTAGTTTTGCTTCTTCAGCCTTCTCTGGACTGGTCACTTTATCTTCCATTTCCTGAAATAATTTTAAAGAAATTACTTCTCTATTACAACTCAGGTTTTAAAAACAATTCACCTTTCAATACCTGGATTCTGACTTGAGCTGTGAATGCCAGGTAACACAGACTCTGCCTAAGCAACAGGCATAGCAGCCCTTAAGACGGCTCAGTCTTGTTTTTCAGATGTTCCATGTCAGAGCTCGATTATAGCTGTGATGCATGTGTAACACCCCACACACTGGATAAAAATACCAAGACAGCTCAGCTCCAAAGTCTTGCCTGCCATTACTTTCCAGTCATGCAGAATACATTTATAGTTAGTTACCTTCTATGGAACTCTTCAGCTCTTCATCTATATTTAGGAGAATTATCTGCTCAAACCTAAAAGATCTTTCTGATGTTCTGTTTATCAAAAATTACATATAATGTCGAAGTTCCTTAGATTCTTTATTACAGATTAACAGCAGCCTACCTACAAGCATATTTTTCCTGACTAAATTAATATTTGCAAAGGAGGTAAACATCTCCACCAAGCCCCACACATCTACCTGTTTCACTGCATGACTTTCTTCCACATTTAAGATGACAAAGGTGTCATTCTTAATGTACTAAATCTGTTTTCCGACAAAACTGGCAGTGTCTTAAGCCTGTTTCTCTTCAGCAGAGTCTTGATCTAGTCTACATTCTGCTAGAGGGTATTTTTTTCCAGGGAGGAAACATGAATGGAGAAGCACAACACAGACTGGGACACCAGGCAGGCCGGTGGCTAGTGAGGCTTCCTGGCTAAGGAGCAGGCAGGCTCCTTTCCGCACACCTGACCCCTCCCAGTTCTTTATGAACCATCAAAAGCAGGAATGCTGGAGATTTGGTGTCCTTAAATTAGAATATAGCAGCGCGAGGAAGAGGAGGGAAGAGGGTCCCCGGGAAGGATCTGAGGCAAGAACTGAAGCCTGCAGAGAGAGAAGAGAGAAACTAATAAAGAGGAAAGTACCAAGCAGTGCTCTCTCCCAGAGCCTAGACTCTCCACGAGGGTACAGTGGGCCAGAACTGCAGAAGCATAGTGACTACTGACGACCCCAGAGGCTTCCACAGAAAAACGCACAGGTGCAACAGAGCAGTGGACGAATCAGACTGCAGCAGCTGGTGGGTTATCTGGGTTCAGACCTCATCCAGGAGAGGGTGACTGGCCAGTAGCCATCTTGGAGAGGGCCCAACTGAGCTTGGAACTCAGAATAGCTGCGGGTGGACGCCATTGAGTGGCTCCAGGTGCCTCAGTGTCGATGTGGAGTTCAAGTCAGCAGGAGGTCAGGGAGCAGAGTTTAAGGCAGCAGGAGACACACAGGCTGTTGTAGGCTCAAGGAATCTGGTTCCAGCCTCACAGCCAGAAACCGGCCTGAACCTCAGAGGAACTAAAGGGGCAGGCTGGCTGGGATTATCCACAACCCCACCATGAAGCTGCAGCTAGCCTGGTGGGATTAATCAGTTTGGCTCTGGACTCTGTTTGCCCACATTGCCTAATAGTGACAGCAGAGATACACCTTGAATTAAAAGTTTTTGGATTTTTATCTTTTTTCTTTCTGTTTTTCCTCCTTTCTAGTTCTTATTTTGCTTAGCTTTCTAGTTTTTTGTTGTTGTTGGTCTGTTCTGTTCTTGTTTTTATTTTTTTCCTTTTTTCTTTCCCACCTGCCTGCTTCACCAGTTTCCTAATGTTTGCCTCCAGCCTTGCTTCTGATCTCTTTCCCTTCTTCTATTTCTGTTTTTTACCTCCTAACCCCTTTTAAATCTTCTCCCCTATGGGTAAAAAAAGCCATATTAAGGGCCACAATTTGTCATTTTCTGGGCTGTATTTGATGCTACTGTTATTGACAGTTGTACTTCTTTAGCCAAGGTGACATAATTGGTATACCAAGACTGAGATTGCCTAACGGTCTTAAACAAAACAAAACAAAACGAAACACCAAAACCTATAGGCCAGTGCCAAGGAACTGGCAGCTGGGCCAAGTAGGCAGAAACTTCTCATCCCCAATAAACTGAAGAGGTAGGATCCTGCAACAGACTCAAAACCCAAAAGCCAGCTACACCTGGAAGATGCTTCAGAGTAGTCATTTCCTAAGGGTTCTGAAGACTGGCAATAAAGCATAAGCAATTTACAAGCATCAACCCAGGAATCAAACTTAAAAAAAAGAAAATGAGAAGACACTTAAACAAGATGCAACCCCCACAGATCTTCAGCTCACCAAAGGCAAACCCTGGGGGCAATGAAGTGGAACAATTTGAAAGCCACCCACCTGGACTCTCTGAAGTGGTAACAGCAGAAGTAACAAAGCAGATGAACCAGGCTCTAGCAAAAATCAAAGCAGAATTTCCCAGACAACTACAGAGATGGTGACCGGAATGAAAGATACAGATTAAAATAAAATAGAGGCACTCAGGAACATGATGGAAGCCATGAATGCCCAGCATAGAAAAGAAATGGGATCCAGGAAACAGATTCAAACAGATATCCAGATTAAAAACTCCACTGAAAATATACGCAGCAGAATGAGCCAATGCGAGGACAGAATATCAGATACAGAAGACAGGATTGCAGTTAGCAATCAGGAAAAGAGATTTCTTAAAAATAGCAAGGGGCAATGAGAAATCAATCCAGAAGCTGCTAGATGAGGCAAAGAAGAATAATATAAGATTGACTGGAGTCAATGAAAAAGCAGGAGGTAGCGCAAATGACATTAAAAGCTTGTTCTCAGAAGTAATGGCACAAAAATTCCCAAACTGGGAAAAAGAAGTTGACATACAAATAAAGTGAGGCATATAGGACTCCAATTAGCCGTCATCCAAAAACAAAAAACAAAAATCAAAAAAACAACTTCCCAAAGGCATATAGTAGTCAAGATTCCAGAAATTCAACACAAGGACAGAATATTAAAAGCTGTTAGAAGGCTGGGGTATATCGCAGACTGTACAAGAAATACTACAAAGAATCAACAGCTGGGACCTCATCTTATTAAAAAGCTTTTGCACACCAAGAGAAACCAACAGAGTGAAGAGACAACCCATACAGTGGGAAAAAAATTTTACCAGCTATTCGGATAAAGGACTATTATCTAGAATATATTAAGAACTCAAAAAAAATCAGACCCCCCCCCAAATTTAAAGACGCAATGCAAAAATGGGCATCTGAAATGAAAAGACACTTCTCAGATGTAGATTTAGAGATGGCAAATAAATATATGAAAAAATAAGATGTTCAACATCTTTGGTCATTTGTGAAATGCAAATTATAACAACACTGAGATTCCACCTCACTCCATAAAGAATGGCTGTTATCAAGAAATCAACCAACAACAAATGCTGGCAGGGCTGTGGGGGAAAAAGGAACCCTTTTCCACCACTGGTGGGAGTGTAGACTGGTGCAACCAACTGTGGAAATCAGTGTGGAGATTCCTCAAAAACTAAAACTAGAGGTTCCATTTGACCCAGCTATACTTCTTCTTGGTATCTTCACGAAAGAATGAAAAGCATCACACTACAGCGATATATGCACACCTATGTTTACAGCAGCACAGTTTGTAATAGCTAAATCTTGACAACAGCCCAAATGCCCATCAACCAATGAATGGATACAGAAGATGTGGGGTTTTTTTATGTACAATGAAGTACTACTCTGCCATAAAGGATGAGCTGCAGACATTTATAGCTAAATGGATGCACCTTGAGACCACACTCTTAAGTGAAATAAATCAGACATACACGTTTAAATACTACATTGTTTCTTTGGTGTGAGAAACTAAATGTGAAAATAAGGACTGAGATGTATAATGGATATTGGGAAATGTGAAGAAAGTGTTCAAATGGGAAAGGGAACAGGGAGGAAGAAGAGAGAAAGGAAGGGACAAGAAAAAAAAAGTGAAAATAGAAGGAAAAAATGGAAACAAAGCCTTTTTACATGGGGAGGGGGCTAAGGGGGTGAATGGGATACAATTTTTAAAAGTTTGAAAAAAAAAAGCAGGGATGTTAAATCCACCAATGTCAAACCAACTGCTCTTAGACAATCTTTTATCTAGGAACTGATAAAATTAACTTTACACTATTTTTTCAAATTTTTCTCAAAATTATATCCACATTTAATACTGATTCACTTTATGTATTGTCGAACCTTTCCTCATCTTTAACAGCTCCCTTGTGTATTGTCTCAAAGAGTTTTGAGAAAAAGGGAGGAGCTGTCAAACAGTTTCCCGTCGGCCTCTCTGGACCTTACATCCTCCCTTTCTGCCCAGCCGTCCGACTTTCCATTTTACACTGCAGGTTCCTGCATCTCTGGATTCTTCACTGTGGTCACAACTCCCACTCACAGGATGCTCCCAACACTGAACTATGCGCTCGGCCAGTCAGAGACTCCAGATCAAGGTGACTGCCAGTCTTGCTGTTTAATGTTAAGGTCTAGACCATGGAGCAAACCTATGGCACGTGTGCCACAGCCAGCTTTTTGTTACTGAAAGCTTGAAAAGGTTCCCCGTCACTGGTCTAGACCGAAATTGTTCCTCAAAAGTCTCTCACCAGGAGTATGCCTCGGCAGGGTGTGTTCTCGTGGCCTGCCCCTGAGGGGCCACACAGTGAGCAGCTGTCCTTGTCACCCCCTTCTACCGCGCCCTTCCTGCCTTGGACCCGGCTGGCTATGGACGGAACCCACAGAAACTGGGAGCCAAAATAAACCTCTCCTCTTTTAAGGTGTGAGTGTTGGGTATTTGTCATGGCAACAAGAAAGTGATTAATATAAAGGGTATGCCCCAAAGACGTCACATGAGGTATGTGACATAAACCACTGTTCCCACTTTCACCCATCTTTGGGCATCATGAGCTCACCCTAAGAGCCTCAGCACACGAACTGCTGCCTCATCAGCCAGAGTCTAAGGAGGCCACCCCTCCGCTGACACTTGTCCTCCCTGTGGGAGTCTGTGGTGCGCTGTCAGCCTCAGATGACTGCTTAGCTCTAGATCCCAGCCACCTCCATGTAAGGCAACTGGAAGCTGAAGACACAATGGACATTTAAGGCAGCAGGTCAGGGTAGGAAGGTGGCCAGGGTGTGGCACAGCTGCTCTGTGCAACTCACTGGGACCTCGGGGCCTCGGTGCTGATTTCCTAGCTAGCACCGTCACACTCAAGCAGTTCACCATCAACACATAAGCAGCACCTGGGCCCAGGATTTAGCTCAGTGGTTTCACTGCCTGCTGCGTAAGCGCAAGGACCTGAGTTCGATCCTCAGTACCAAAAAAAAAGGCCACTTAGAACTG